GCAGATCTGTGTTTGAGGGCTCCTTGCCCAGCAAGATGGCAAGTCTGAGATTCAGTGAGAGAATGTTTTATGTTTTAAAACATATGGTGGAAGAGCAATTGAGGAAGATATTCTAACTTTAACCTCAAGGAGACCCATGTGGACAAACATGCAAGTGCACATCAAAAACACTGGCTAACTACCAAAATAAATACATGAATAAATAAATAAATAAGTAAATAAATAACTGCAACAGCAAGATGAAGAGAAATAGAGAAAGACACTACATATTTAATGAGTGGCCTCTGCATGTGTGTACACAGTTAAGCACACATCCCTATGCATACCCCCCCAACACACACACACACACACACACACACACACACACACACACTTACAAAATTTAATTAGAAAATGAACAAAATTTCTTGTACTAAATGGAATTTCTAAGTTTAGGCTTTGTCACATTTTAATGCCAGCTTTTCAGTTCTATAGCAAAATCCTTGCCATCAGATGCCTTCCCCTGTCTTCCATAAACTTTAGCACGAATGACTCATAACAGTGCAGGAAGCTGGATTGCCACTAACAAATATGCTATTAAGTTCTCATCAAACATTTTTGTTCTCATTAAATCAAAACATTATTTTTTAAAAAGAAATTTCCCAGTTACTTGTTACAGACATGATGCATATTCACATGAAGTCCAAACCAAGCATCACAGCCCTGTAAGCTGCTAGCAGCTAATGGGTAAGCACACCTAACTCCAGACACAAATACCCACTTTTTAGAATTTTTTTAGGAATCTTCACAGTCAAGAAGACTTGATAAATGCTGTCCTTCCAGTGTTTTTCTCTTAGTGTATGACCAGTAGCAAAAATACATAGTATCCAATATTCAGCATTGATATGAAATAAATCATATTAGGGCTTTCAGAATTTGGAATAAATAAAACTGGTGGATATGTGATAACCAATTTCTGTTTTTCAAAAGCCTCTTCCTATCCAACGGGAAAACCAGAGGATTTACAGAGCTAACCTGACATGGTGGCAAAGGATTTGCCCACTCTGGGAAAGCTGCAATCTGTCTCCTGTAGAACCTACTTTCATCAATTGCCCCAGATTTTTCTTTGCTTGCTTTTGTAGTGGAACATCTTATCTGTAAAGCAGCCACATTTCTAAACTATAACAGTCTCTAGCTTACAGCTGACAACAGACTAGCCAAATATTTTATTTAGTTTGTTAATATTAAAATCTTCCTAGTGAGTGCATAAAGATATGCCCCGTGAAAGAAGAATTGTTACAAAGCCAATGTATCAGTTCTCCATTTTTCTACTTTCTTAGGCTAACAAGAAGTTATCTATATTTTGAAGAATTATAGGTCCTTCTGGTAGGATACATTTTTACCTCTATTGTGTAATTAAATAGAGAAAATGGAAGAGCCCTGAATCCCTCAAGTCCTATACGTAACCTCCATAGCATTTCTGACTTTGAGCAGGTCTGGCTGCCATTGGTACTATTTACCTTGCAGGTGACTTTATGGTTGCTAATAAAACTAGGCTCCCTTTATTCTCACATCCAAGTGGCTATCTGGAAGATCCACCAGGTAGCCTACTCCTATCACAGATACCAAGTTGTATCTGAAATCTATCTCAGCTACCTCATGCTTAGCTCATTGCCTGGAAGGTAGTCTTTTTCTGAAATAGATGGAGATTTTGTATAAGGTGTACCTACATACAATTTTGTCTGTTGGGATTAGTTGAATCAAAAAATATATTAAAGGATGACAATGACTTCTATATATTCCCCTGGACTTCATGCTAGTTGGTCATCTGGCTTGCACACATTTACCTTGCTTTAAGATCCTCCATTTTCCTTCTAGTTAGTCAGTTTGGCTGTCTAGTGATCAGCTAAAAGAAATCTTGTTTATATTTCTCAGTCAGTGATCCTGGCTTAGTGATATGACCATAAATTTCCTCTCATCCAGAATATCTGTTTTCATTATAACATCAGTGATTGATGTGTAGGCTATACTATGTGCCTTTTCTTCTCACACCTACCCTGAGGTACCTAGCCTCTACCTTGCTTTCTTAATATGGGTCTAGAGATATCATGACATAATTGTCTGTTTTGAAAATTATTTCTCACATTTCTAATTACAATTCTTTTTGTTACTTTTAGTTTAGTTATTGACAAAGGATATATTTTGCACATATATAGCTTATACTTTTGGTAGACTTTTTGCTTCTTTACAGATCAATCAAAGCAGCTTCATCATTTTCTTGGTTCCTAATCAATGCATTGGTTGTCATTGATCAGATTGTTTATCCAGCAGCTAAAGAGACTGCCCTGTCTACTACACCTTATTTTTCTTTCTGAAGGTACATAGCATTTAGAGACTTTCGCCCAGAATAGTTAAACAGGCACTCTACCCAGGATTCAGATACTAGCCTTTAAAATATGCAGCAACAACCACCTCTACATATTGACAAAGGAATAAAGAATAAAGCTGAATATGTGTTCTCTAATAAAAGAACCAATGTATATGAGAACCTTGGAAGGAAAAAAAAGCTAAAAACTAACACAAATGCCAACAGATTTACTGAGCTATCACCAATTGTATAAGAGAAATTTCCAAAGAAATGGCCACTTAATTGACAATGGGAATCTATCGAAATGGCAAGGTTATATTATAAAGATATTTATAGGTAGAATTCACTAGTTCTTGCCACTGACACATACAGTTTATCAATTTGAATCACATGGCCAGGATTCTGTAGCTTAGGATCTTGTTTCTGTCATTCATATATTTCCTAGAATCTCTCCCTATGCTCATCTTCTAATTTCTTGGCTTTCTGTAGTAATTCCAGGTAGACTCCCTTCTTCCTTTCCACCCTTGTTAGGTAGACTTACACAGAGATTGTTCTATTTAATAAAAAAGATCTAGCTAAAGAATCAATACAATAAATCCCTTCTTTCCTCCATTCTCCCATTTCTTTTTCTTTATTCTTTCCTTTCTCTTTATTTGTCTTCCTTTATCTCTCTTGTCCATCCAACTTTCCTTTCATTTCCTTTTCATTCCCTTCCCTCCTCTCTCCTTGCATTGGGTTTTCTATCTCTTTTGGGAGCTTATCTGAGATTCTAGTGAGACAACACAGATACCTCTGTGTCGTTGACCAAACAGTCCTGTTCCTGTATAGGGGAAGGCTACTCTCTATAGAGTATATTATATAAGGAGTCTATAATTTTAGCAGAGACACAGATAAAATGTTGAACGAAAAACAAGATGCCAGCATGACCATCCAGAGCAGTTGAATTTGGCAATTAATGAGGTGATAAACATCCTCTATTATCATCAAATCCAGGTTTTCTTTCTGTTTTTTATTTAGAAACAATCTTATTTTATCAATCCCCAAGTTCTCTCTCCCTCCCATTCCCCCATGCCCCCCCACAAACTCCCCCAACCCACTCCCACCCACTCCCCAAAGATAGTGAAGCCTTCCATGAGGGAACATAAAAGAGTGTCACATCACTTGGGTGAGGGCCTAGGCACTCCCCTGTGTATTTAGGCTGGGAGAGTAGCCCTACATTAGGAATTGGTTCCCAAAGACCATTCCTGCACTAGGGATAAATACTGGTTCCACTGGAAGAGGCCCCATAGAATGCCCAGGCCTGCTAACTGGCAGCCACATTCAGAGGGCTTGGTTCAGTCTAATGCTGGTTCCCCAACTTTATAACTAAGGTCCATGTGCAGGACAGGTGTTTCTGTAGATTTCGGTAGGTCTCTCCACCAAGGACTTGACTGTTTTGTTCATCCCCCTCCCTCTCTACAACTGAATTCTAGGAGTATAGGTCATTGCTTAGCTGTGGGTGTCTGTTTCTGCTTCGGTTAGCTATTTGATGAAGGCTCTAGGATGGCATATAATCAATCACATTATTGGGGAAGGGCATCAAAGGCACCCTCTTCACTACTGCCTAGATTCTTAGTAGGGGTTATCTTTGTGGATCTCTGAACATTTCCCTAGTGCCAGATTTCTCTTTAAACCTATACAGGCTCCCTCTATTAAGGTATCTCTTTTCTTGTTCTCATCTATTCCCCCCCTTACTCAGTCTTCCTGATCCTTCTTGTTATCTTGACTACTCTTTTTCTCCCCTTCTCTTTTTTTCCTAATGCCTCCCTTCTCCCCACTAATTTTTCAGGAGTTTTTCTAATTTGTTCAGGAGTTCTTAACCCTTTCCTCTTCTTCAGGAGACCATGTATTTCTCTCTTAGGTTCCACTTGTTTCCTAGTTTCAATGTTGGTGTGGATTGTAGGCTGGTAGTTCTTTGCTCTATGTCTTATATACATATATGAGTGAGTACATACCATGTTTGTCTTTCGGTGTCTGGGTTACCTCACTGAGGATGGTTTCACCTTGTTTCATCATTTGCCTGTGAATTTCAAGATTTCATTTTTTTCCCAATTAGTAATACTCCATTGTATAAAGGTACCACATTTTCTCCATCCATTCTTTGGTTGCTTGCTTCTAGGTTCTGGTTACAAACAACACATCTATGAATAGAGTTGAACATATGTCCTTGTTTTATTAATGTGCATCCTTTGGGTATATGCCCAATAGTGGAATTGCTGGATCTTGAGTTAGAAGACTGGTTGTTATTTTCCTGAAAAACCACCACATTGATTTCCAAAGTGGCCACACAAGTTTGCACTCCCACCAGCAATGGAAGGATGTTCCCCATTCTCCACATGCCCTACAGCATAGATTGTCATGAGTGTTTTTTATTTTAGTCATTCTGGAAGGTGTAAGTTGCTATCTCAGAGTTCTTTTGTTTTGCATTTCTCTGATGGCTAAGGATTTTGAGCACTTTCTTAAGTGTCTATTGTAGGGGATGCTGTAGCCACACCTGCTTAGAGGCTGGCTACAGGTATGCCTGACCATGCCTGCGAGGGCGTGGTCAGGGTGACATAGAGTGAGGGATATTAACGTGGCAGGTTTCTGCTTTCGGTTTCACTTTTGGCTGGCTGTATGGGCTGCTGCTGCGCTGGCTGGCTTAGGTCGCTTGGTAAGTAAGGCTTTTCCTTATTAAAATCCCTTGTATTTTTACCTGGCTCTGTATGGGTAATTTCCCACATTAGTCTTTCAGCCATTTTAGATTCATCTATTGAGAATTCTCTATTTAGTTCTATACCCCACATTTTAATTGTGTTGTTTGGTGTTTTGGTGAAAAACTTCTTGAGTTCTTTGTATATTTTGGAAATCAGCCCTCTGTCAGATATGGAGTTGGTGAATATCTTTTCCCATTCTGTGGGCTGCCATTTTGTGTGACTGTGTCCTTTGCCTATAAAAGCTTCTCAGTTTCAGGAGGTCTCATTTATTAATTGTCGATCTCAGTGTCTGTGTTACTGGTGTTATATTCAGGAAGTGGTCTCCTGTAACAATTCATTCAAGGGTACCTCTCACTTTCTCTTCTAAGAGGTTCAGTGTGGTTGGGTTTATGTTGAGGTGTTCGATCTATTTGGACTCCAGTTTTGTACATGGCAATATGTATGGATCTATCTACAATCTTCTACATGTGAGCATCCAGTTATGCCAGCATGATTTGTTGAAGATGCTTTCTTTTTTCAATGTATAATTTTGACATCTTTGTCAAAAATTAGGTGTTCATAGGCGTGTGAGTTAATATCCAGTTTTTCAATTCAATTCCATTGATCTACCTGTTTATTTTTGTGCCAGTATAAAGCTGTTTTCAGTACTATAGCTCTATGATAGAGCTTGAAGTCTGGGATGGTGATGCCTCCAGAAGTTCCTTTATTGTACAGGGTTTGGTCTGCCCTGGATCTTTTGTTTTTCCATATAAAGTTGTATATTATTCTTTCAAATTCTGTGAAGAATTGTGCCAGTATTTTGATGTGGATTGCATTGAATCTGTAGGTTGCTTTTGGCACGATTGCCATTTTTACTATGTTGATCCTACCTATCCAAGAGCATGGGATATCTTTCCATTTTCTGGTATCTTCTTCAATTTCATTATTTAAAGACCCGAAGTTCTTGTTGTGCAGGTCTTTCACTTGTTTGGCTAGTGTCACTCCAAGAAACTTAATGTTGCTTGTAGCTATTGTAATGGTGCTGTTTCTCTGATTTTTTTTCTCAGCTCACCATCTGTATATAATAGGGCTACTAATTTTTTGGAGTTAATCTTGTTTCCTGCCACTTTGCTGAAGGTGTTTATCAGCTGTAGGTGTTCTATGGTAGAATTTTTCAAGTCACTTATGTAAACTATCATATCATCTGCAAACAATGAAAGCTTGATTTCTTCCTTTCCTAATTGTATCCCCTTGATCTCTTTTTGATGTGTTATTGCTCTAGCTAGAACTTCAAGTACAATATTGAAGAGATATGGAATGAGTGGACAGCCTTGTCTTGTTCCTGATTTTAGAGGAATCATGTTGAGTTTCTTACCATTTAGTTTGAGGTTGGTTTTTAATTTGCTGTATATTGCTTTTATTATATTTAGGTATGTTCCTGTTATCCCTAATCTCTCTAATACCTTTATCATGAAGTGGTGCTGGATTTTGTCAAAAGCTTTTTCAGCATCTAGTGAGAAGATCATGTGGTTTTGCTTTTCCAATTTGTTTATATGGTGGTTTACACTGATGAATTTTCATATGTTGAACCATCCCTGCATCCCTGGGATGAAGCCTAGTTGATCATGGTGACATCAGTTTTTCTCTTCCTATGGTCTATCCTTGTCATCCTACTACTTTCACTTTTTTGTAGCATTGCAGAGGCTCAAGACTCTCCCATGCTAGGTATAATAGAGAAAAGAATATATTGTTATAACTGGAGCAATGTTTTTATTTGCCCTTGGGCCCATGTTTGTGACTTTTAATATCTTATTCCACTGCATTTGGAAATCAGTTGAGAATTCACACCTCTTCCAGCTAAAACTAATCCCACCCTCCTCTCCAGATATGCTTCAGGTAAGTTCTACCACTGTTTGATTTTAGCTTTTCTCTAGTTATGGGATTTGAGAAGTCACTGGATTCCCATGGTGCCTAGATTCTTTAGGGTCAAGATCTTTTGTATGACAAAGAATCAGCTTGCTGTAATCCGAATTGGGGTTTAAATCAGGAGAAATGTAAACTCTAGGGCACTTACATTTTCTTTCTTGTAGCTATAGTCATCAGCTTGTTTATCTTCTAAGTTATCAGCTTACCTATTCTCCACCTTGTTATATAATGATATTATAGTTAGTGTTATAATTCTAACTATATAATATGTCCATATTTAAGGACTTAGTCAAGAGAGTGTGTACCAGGACACAAAGAAAGGTCAAGTTTAGTCCAGAGAACACAAACATCTACATCCACAAAATAGAAGATGTGTCATTACCAGGTAAGCCACAAACCTCATACTTTTCTGAATGCAAATTTGCTAAGAAGGGAAATGGCCCATCTAGAACTTCAGTACCCCTTTCCAATCAGCTGAGGTACAAAAGGAAAACCATAAGCTAATAAACAGTGGGATGGCAACAGCAAAGAAAGGATAATGTAGGTTTTGTAAAAGAACAGTTTTCAAATTCCCTGTTCCATTTCTGCATTTTAATTCTAGGTATCTAAATCAGTTTTTCTCATAATGATATATATCATATAATTGCCAACAATTTGTTTGTTTGAAATGAGATATGTTTAATAGTTCCAGTTATATAAATAGTAAATGTATTATTTTGTAGAAATAAACCAACTTACTATACACCTATCTAAGACAGAGAGGCAAATGGAGAAGGGAAAGAAAGGAATAAAAAATAGAGGAGAATGGAGAAGAGAGGAGAGATATTGAGAGAGAGAAAGAGAGCGATTCAAACCAAGTAATGTTTTGTAGGCAATATTCTTATTCCTGCCTTTTTATGTTCTTAAACTGTATATAGGATCTTGAAACCCATGCTACCAATATTTACTATTATTCAACACCTAAATCTTCATATTAAAGGCACAGTCCATGTTGTCAGTATTGAAAAAGAGCAGAGAACTTCGAGGGATTTGCTTTGTTTAATTTACATTTTAAAGTCTCTTCAATTTATGCTGTTGAAGTATGCAGCTTGTCTGTTAGTTCAGAAATTTTCAAACTTCCTGTTGTCATTGACAAGGTTGTGGAAGAATATAATTAAAAACAACATCTCCCAGTAACCCAGGAAACTCTGCACAAAGGTAGAAGAGAAAGAAAATCTTGTTTACTTTTGTTGAATACATATCAATCCAGAATGTAATGTTTTCCACAGACAATTTCCTAAGAGGTTGCAAAGATACAAAGAAATCTTTGTCTTTTGTGCATCCAGACAGATACAACCTTTTGTATCCATGTTATTAAGATAATACAAGAACCGATCCTGGATGGAACAAAAAAGAGGGAGGGGAGGGGTATTCACCCTTTATTTTCAATTTGTGCTTTCACTTTTATATAATTCTAAGTGGTTTTTCTTCATTTTTCTTTTTATTTTGTTTGGCTGAATTTATTGTCCTTGAAATGTTATCATGATTTAATTCATGCCATGTCTATACATCAACCAATTTTCTAGCATATCCAGGAACAATGAAAAAGCCAATTGCTGTCCTACAGAACACCCTTTTTTCTATAATTGTAAATTAGTTAATTTTAATATTTTAATGTCTATGCAATCAAGTTTTGGTAATTACGCAACCAAGTTTTGGTAATATCTACCTGCATGACAAGCTCTTTTTCTAATTTCTTAAGATCTATACATTTTTTCATAGTACTGAAATGTGTCTGTTAGATGTTTTTGTCAAGACAGTGTTTCTCTGGGTATCTTTAGCTGTCCTGAAACTCACTCTGGAGAGCACACTGGCCTCAAACTTAGAAAGCAGCCTTCCTGTCTCATGAGTGCTGTGATTCAAGGCATGTACCACACTGCTGCCTGGTTCTATTAGATTTTCTTAATAGCAGTCCTCATGCTATTAACTCAACTATCACAATGTTTTTGGCCCTTCTACTTTTAAAATAGTTTTGCAAGTTTTCCATCTGTAGATCAATAAGTATTTTGTTGCAGTATTTTGAATATCATATTTTAATGTGTGATGCTTAATATTGAGTATCAGTTTGGCAAGTTCTAGACTCACCTAGGAGACAAACATTTGAGTCTACTTTAAGGAGTTCCTATACTAGGTTACTAAAATTGTCAAAACCCACTTTAACTGTGGGAAGCAATTTTTTTCTCTGGACCATGGTCATAGACTGAGTAAGAAGGAAAAAGAGTTCACCACCAGCATTCATTGCTCTGATTTCTGAGTGCAGATGCCACATGAATAACTTCCTCAAGCTCTTTCCTTTAGGAGTTCTCCATAATGAGGGACAGCAAGCTCAACTGATAGACTTAAATAAATCTCTTCTCCTTTAAGTCTCTTTTTCTATGTTATTTTATCACAGCATATGGAAAAGTAATTAAGACACATGGTTTCTCAGTTCCGTTCCTTACTTATAATTCTTTGTGTAAGAGTTATCATTTGGCTGAATTAGTTTTATAGTTTCTAAAATATTTCTTACATTTTAATTGGAAAATAAATAATGTGTATCAATTGTGAACTTAGGTATAAAGTATTCCCAGTTAGGTTTACTTCATACAAATGTGGTGATATATAGATTTTTCTCCACTCTGACATCCTGTCACTCTTATAGTTAAGTATGTGATTGTATTTCTTTATTGGGCAAAGGCAACTTTGCAGGTATAAGAAAATGCTTAACAAGCATTATATATGAATACACATATCAAAAGGTGAGGGTGCTGGATAAAGCCAAAGTTCTGCAACTGGAACTTTATGCCTTCCCGCTCCTTCCCCTCTTTGTTCTTGTCTTTCACAGAGAACTAACTCAACCATTTTGATGTTTCTGATGAAGGGAGCTTATCCCAGCCCTCAGGTTCTATTTGTTTGTTTGTTTGTTTGTTTTTAGGTTTTTTGTTTTGTTTTATTTTGGGTTTGTTTTTTGTTTCTTTCTTTTTTTTTTTTTTTTTGAGACAGGGTTTCTCTGTATTGTTTTGGAGTCTGTCCTGGAACTGCTCTGTAGACTAGGCTGGCCTCAAAAATTCAAAGGCTCCAGTTTATTAAACAGACAGCCTCTCCAGCCTGAGACCTTCTTCTGTTCTGTGCTCAAATAGGCATCTATCTGTGCCTGAGTGAGTTTTGGGGGCTTGCCATAATTCCAAGTTCTAGCTAAGTCTGTGTGCCAGAATAAGTTTAGAAGTTGTACATAAGCAACTTCTCTTCTCTTGAGAACTAATTTTATATTTGTGCTCCATTTGAGCAGCCTTCTGAATATCTTTGACCATTTGCTAGACAGCTGTTCTTATCACATGTTTGTAAATAAGCATGCACATATTTTAACAGTTTCTTTTAAAATCAGTTCTTAGAATTTATTTGAACAAAGAATCCCTCTTCATTTAAAAGTTTGATCAAAATTTTACTACAAAAGAAAATAGGTAAATTGTTGTAATAATTATTGATTGGTTATGAGAAAGATCAGTTTAAAAAATTAAATTTTAAAAAATGTCCAGGTGAGTATACTATATTTGTCTTTCTGGTTTTGGGTTACCTCACTCAGCATGTTATTTTCTAGCCCTGTTCATTTGCCTGCAAATTTTAGGATGCCATTGTTTCTCACCATTGAGTAGTACTCAATTTTGTAAATGTACCATGTTTTCTTTATCCATTCTTCAGCTGAGGGGCATCTAAGTTGTTTCCAAGATCTGGCTACTACGAATCATGGTGCTAAAACATAGTTGAGCAAATGTGGATACCAGACATAAAGCAAAATACACCCCAGAAAAGCAAGAATCCTCTTCTAGAAACAGATATAAGCAGATGCAGAAATCCACAACTAACTTGTAATCCAAAGCTCCTGGAGTACAATCAAAGTGAGGTAGGAGCAAAAATATGAACAAAGGAGTCAAAACCATGATTGGGAAACACACAGAATCAGCTGGCCCAAGCTAGCAAGAGATCACTGACTCAAGTCTGACAAATTGAGAACCTGCATAAGACTATGAGCTATTCTCCCTTAATATAGGTTAACAATGGTGTGACTGGGGCAATATATGAGACCACTGGAAGTGGGTCCAAGATCTAACAGTAATGCACAAACTGAATCAGTGGAGCCCATTCTATATGGAGAGATACCTTGCTCAACCTAGACACAGAGATGTGGGGAGTGGAGAAGTGCCTTGGTCCTGCCTTAATGAGATGATGATGATGACAGATTTAATAGACTTAGTAGACTTACTAGGGGAGGCCTTACCCTCTCTGAGGAGCCAATGGGAGGTAGAAGGACAGTGGTGGAAGCAGGATAGAGGGAACTGGGATTGGAATGTAAAAAATAAATTAATAAAGTAAAAGAGAAAATGAAAGAAAATTCCCATGTGATTTTTTTGTTAGGGTCCTAGAGAAGTCCCACAAAGACCACCATTCATGTGTGCAATTAGAAAGTGGGCTTATTATTCCAGAATGCTGGGCCATCCATTTTAAACAAATGCAAAATGGGGACAACCCAAAGAGGAACTCATAGCTCATTTTAAGGCCAGCCAAGGGGAGGTCCTAAGGCAGTTAGGCCCTTTTATTTAGAATTGGCTTAAGCACATAGCAATAATGTTAATACATCTAATTGGCTAAGGCTAGTTAAGGGCTGGTCAGGGCTATAGTCTTCCATTGTAGGGGCAGGCCTAGAGCTTATTGATTATGGACTATACATACAACTGACATAGTATGCACTGACTTTGATGCCTGCCTCAGGCCTGGTACTGCATATACCAGGCCTTCTTATCCTTGCTGTTGTAGGCATTGGAGACCAATCATCCTCTATTCATTACTCCTCCTCATAAAATGCTTGCCCAGTCTCAGTAAACTGAAACTGGGGTCTGATCTGTGACAGAAGAGCAAGTATCCTGTTATGGTGTCTGCTCAGTCCTCTCAATTTTAATAACAGGAATATCTTCCTTTGTCAATATATGTGTGTATATGCATATATTGTAATATATGCATTAATGCATATTCATTTTACATGGTGCTATGTTACATAAGAATATTTTACAAGTATGCATTTTACATTGAACATATTCACTTCCCATATACCATGCTCTCCAGAAAAACTCAAAAGTCAATTTTTTGTGTCACAAACAATCATAAGATTAACTTCCTCACTGTAAACATTTCTTAAAATACTCTAATTTATGAACTATGAGCACTTTCCTCAAAATTTCCTAAGCCAATGAAATTTTAAATAACTCCATATGAATGCTAATTTTTAAAACAAAGTTTGGTAGTTTTTAATTTGTTACTTTTGTATTTTTATTTTTTTAATTTAGAATACATTTTTCTTTCATACAATACATT